GGGGATAAGAGAAGGCCCCACAGGGGCCCTTCAGGGCACCTCTTGGAGCCAGCTGGTACCCAAAGGCCCTTCTCTTCACCCCGCATCTAGGTCACGCCTCATGACCACCCGCCCGAGCGTCTCGACCACCTCCCCAGGGCCCGCGCTTGTCACCCCGAGCCGATTTTGTTGGACGGCCCCGAGGCCCGTCAAGGGCCCCGAGAGGCCGAAGAGACCATGAAGAGACTCCGTGCCAATGTTTGTTTCGAGACGCTCGGAGGTCTGTTTGGCGGCGCGCAAGGGGGTGGAGAGAGGCGGGAAGGCTTCTTGCAAGGAGGTTGGTCTCAGAAGGCGTCGCCCCGACACCTATTTTGGTAAAGCCCGCGCCTTCCTACTGAGCATAGGTGCTTCTAAGAAGCCCTCTCCCCTACCCCTACAGCCAATCCGTATCATGGATGCGCGGTAAGGATGCAAGTGCCTTGGAGGCCCATGTCAACGCTGTTCGAACAAGGTTGGCCAGCGAAAGTCGCTAAGGATGGGCCGACGGGAAGAATGTAAGGGTACCCTTGGGAATGTTGCCCATCCCGAAGATGCGGGTTGACTGTATGCATAGGTAAGGCCCGCGCCTTCCTCCAAAGCGGGGGCGCCTCATAAGAATCTCTCCCCCCTCCCCTGCCCCCCTGTCCGCGCGCGGCTGAGTCTGGGGAGGGAGTGGACCCGGAGGCGCGTACCGACCCCAGGGATCGTGCCCGAGGCCCCCGAGAACGGAGCCCTGGACTGCGCCTCCGCGGTCCCCTCGCCGCTGGCGGCCCGACGAGGCCCGATGAGGTGGGGGATGATGACGATGACGATGACGATGACGATGACGATGATGATGATGAGGAGGAGGTGGAGGAGGAGGAGGAGGACGCGATTGATGATGATGACGATGATGATAATGATGATGACGATGATGATGATGCTGATGATGACGATGATGATGATGATGGTGGTGATGCTGAAGCGGATGATGATGATGCTGATGATGAGACTAGTGATGATGACGATGACGATGATGATGGTGGTGATGATGACGAGGACGAGGATGAGGATGAGGATGAGGATGGGGATGAGGATGCGGATGAGGATGATGATGATGATGCTGATGATGATGATGACGGTGATGACGATGGTGGTGAGACTGAAGATGAGAATGATGATGAGGATGATGATGATGGTGACAGTGATGATGATGATGTTGATGATGATCGTGATGCTCATGGCGTTGACGACGATGATACTGATGATGATGCTGATGATGCTGATGGTGATGGTGACGGAGATGGTGATGGTGGTGATGATGATGGTGGTGATGATGTGGTGATGGTGACGGTGATGATGATGCTGCTGCTAATGATGATGCTGATGATGATGGCAACGATGGTGATGGTGATAGAGTTGGTGTCTTTTGAGGTGTAGTCTTTCTCTCCGAGGGATCCTGGCCGGGGCGCACAGCCCGGGGGGTCGGGGGTCTTGGGAGTGGCGCTCCCCCCGCGGACCTGAGCACGACGACACTCGCAGTCCACTTGCAGCGCGACAGGGGCGCGAGGACCCTGGAAAGGCCACGTCGACACGTCTCGAGCGGAGCGCGGCCAGCGCAAGCGGCCAGGGATGAGCCCAGGGGGGGAAGGGTGCAAGGGTGACCACTGGAAGCTGCTCGTCTCTACTGTCGACGTATTGTGCGCTCCCTGCCGCTGCAATGAAGATGCTGACGGATCTTGCGCATGGGAAGACTCGCGGTCGCTCGCGCAGGCCGCGTGCGCGGCACGCTGCGCGACGCGACCCGCTAGGCACATCGCCCGAGGGCAAGGCAGCTTGCCCTGCGACGGAAAGTCAGCGACGAACACTGGCGCGAGAAAGACAGGTGGTCCTGGGAGAGACGGGGGCCTGGCCTGGGAAGAGTTGTCGGCCGCAGGCCCATACTGAAAGAGATGAGCCTGGCCAGACCAGTCGTCGGAGGCTGCGGGGTAGCCACCCGAACCCACCAAGTTGTTTCTGCCGGCCCCACATCGGACATACAGTGGAGGCCAGTCCACAAGAAACCTTCCGCAAGAAACGCAACCCTGAGACCCAAGGACGTCCGTCGATGTTTGGTGTGAGAACGTCGCGGTCTCCGTCGCAAAACCATCGGAACCCCGAGAAACCCAGGGCACCCTGGAGGCAAGCAGGGTGCTCCTTGGCATGGGCCCCCGCTGCAGAAGGCCCCTACCGAGGCCTTCTGGCGCAGCAGCACTCGCAGTAGCACCAGATTGGGAGAGGGGCCGGGCCAGACGACAGAGGGAGGCGGAGGAGGAGGAGGCGGAGGAGGAGGCGGAGGAGAAGGCGGAGGAGGAGGAGGAGGAGGAGCAGGAGAAGGAGGAGCAGGATGAGGAGGAGGAGGAGGAGGAAGAGGAGGCGGAGGCGGAGGCGGGCGGAGAAGGTGAAGCACAGGCGGGCTTGTCGAACCAGCTCACGTGTGTACATGACTCTTCCGATGCCTCCCAGGCGCCAAAGGCGCCAATGCATCGAGGAGAGCGCACGCCGGCGCTGCCGATGCCCACTCCGTGCAGCAGATGTCGCAACCCCCCTTTCCCTAGCCCCCCCTTGGTCCGACCCAAGAGGAGCAGGAGGAGGAGGAGGAGGAGGAGGAGGAGGAGAAGGAGGAGGAGGAGGAGGAGGAGAGGGAGGAGGAGGAGGAGGGGAGGAGGAGGAGGAGGAGGGGGGAGGAGGGGGGAGGAGGGGAGGGGGAGGAGGAGGAGGAGGAGGAGGAGGAGGTAGGAGGGAGGAGGAGGAGGAGGGGGAGGAGGACTGCTCGCGCCCCCCTGGCCTCACGCTGCGAACTGGCTGTACTTGGTGACGGCCTTTGTCCCCTCCGACACCGCGTGCTTGGAGAGCTCGCCCGGCAGCATGAGCCGCACCGACGTCTCCACCTCGCGGTACGTGAGGGTCCTTCCAGGGAGAGAGCAGGAGGCAAGAAGAGCAGCCGTTCCTCCTCCTCCACCTCCTCCTCCTCTTCTTCCTCTTCCTCCTCCTCGTTCTCTGCCCTCCTGCTTCTCCTCTCTGTCCTCTGCCTCCTCCTCCTCCTCCTCCTCCTCCACCACCACCGTGCCTTGGCACGTTGACGCGTGGAGAATGCCAATTGCTGCCTGGCATGGAGTCGGTATTTGTTTCTCAGGGACACCTCACCCTCAGTCCCACACAGAGTTGGCTGCACCACCCCTACTCCAGAGGGGCCCTGGGCGGCTATGGCGTTTCCCTGAGACTCTCCAAGGGTTCCAAGACTGCCCAGGAAGGCCATCCAAGACGGACCTGACAGGCGACCAGGGCCGCCGAAATGGTCCAAGATGCCTCCATGACGGCCTAAGATGGCTCAAGATGGCCTCGAGACGACCCAAAGGGCCTCCGAGACGGTCAAAGAGGGCTCCAGTAGAGCCTCCAGCAAGCCCGAAGACGCCAAAATGATCCATTGCCTGTGATGTGTTCAAGGATTATGGCATTCTCGACGAGTCGAGCGTTCGTCGCCTCAAGACAGCCCAAGAAGCTTCGAACATAGCCTGAAGACGGCCCAGAAGGGTACCAACAGGGCTCCAAAGACGGCCCAAGAGGGTACCACGATGGCCCAAGAGCGGCCTAAGAGGACCCCAAGTCGGGCCAAGAAGGCGCTCAGACGGCCCTCAAGGTCCCCAAGACAGCTCCAAGACGACCCAGAGAGCCCCTCAAGATGGAGGACTCTGAAAGCGCCCATACGGCCCAAGAGCGCCCCCAGACGACCCAAAGAGCCCCCAAGAGCCCCCGACAAGGCGATGGCAAGAGACCCCGAGAGGCCCCAGCGAACCCCTCAAGAGGACCCACAAACCATCATGGGACTCGAAATGTCAAACGTGACGGCATCCCGAGCCCCTTCGAATTCTCGCCACCCAACATGCTGGATTCGCACGAGGGCGGGACTTGCCGCAAGCAACTGGATACCTCCTCCCTGTCGCATCCCGAAACATGTCGGTAGGGCGGGCATAGCGTTTCGCCTGAAACTTCCTCACCGCTCATAATCCTGAAGCTAGAGATTCGCAAAAAATGCAGCAGGTGGAGGACGGGTCGTTGTCATAATGTGGCTCTCGCCCCAGCTCAGCGCACTCTCGTCTGAAAAGATGGGAAGAGTTTCATGGATGAAGGGCGGGCGGTGTTCAAAATGTGGCTCTCGCCTCAACGCCGCGCACATTCGTCTTACAGGTTTACAAGAGCTTCACGGGTTGTGGACGGCTCGTGTTCAATGTGGCTCTCTCCTTAGCGCCGCGCGCATGCTTCTCAAAAGTTCACCAGAGTCTCACTGACAGAGGGCGGTTCCTTTTCGAAATATGGCTCTCGCCTGAGCGCCGAGCACATTCGTCTTCAGAGTGTACAACTGTTTCACGGATTCTTATGGTTCACGCCCAGGAATGGTGTTCTGACGCGATGTAGGACTGTCAGGGCGCAAGCGTCACGTTGATTCGCGGCGTTGAAGTCCCAGGAAGGGTGTTCTGGCACGACTGCGGATCGCCAGGACGCAGCAGTAACGTGGAATCGCGGCGTTGAAGTCCCAAGAATAATGTTTTGGCACGGTCCGAGATTCTCAGACGGTTGCCGTCCAACGGGGCACTTCCCTCAGTGAAAACAAATCCTTGCAGGCACATGTGAAATGGGAACTTGGAGGAGGGGTGTACTGCAACATCGTTGATGAGTCTTGGGTTTGCACAAGTCTTCCTCCTCCTCAACCTGCACCTCCTTCTCCTCCACATCTTCCTCCTCCTCCTCCTACTCCTCTATCTCTTGCTCCTCGCCCTCCTAGTTCTCCTCCTCGTTTTCCTACTCGTCCTCCTCCTCCTCCTCATCATCATCATCCTCCTCCTCTCCCCCAAGCGCGCGCTCAGGACGGACATCAGCGCACGAGCGGGAGAGGAGGGGGGTGGGGCGGGCCATGCCGAGGGGGACGGCGAGGAGCGGCCGCATGGCGACGGACAGAGGGGCAGAAGGGAGGCGACGGGCGTGAACAAGCAGTCAGGGGCGGCGCCGCCTGGGGCCCTGGCAGCCCCTGCCCTCGCGGTGCGAGCGCCGCACCCGGCCCCGCCCAGCTGCTGGCCACTCTGGGGCGGCAGCCGCCGCGGCCGAGCCGCGAGCGGGCGTGCCCCAGGGAGGGGGGGAGACGCTCACAGCCCCGCCTTGAGAGCCTGCGATTAACCAAAAAAGGGCCCCTGACCCTTGGGAGGGGGCCTAAGTTACGAAGGCCAAAAACATTGGGGATAGGGGGTCTGTTCTGCAGACGTGTCAGACCAGACCGCCAAGAATCATTGTCCTTTATGCGAAGACGGGGACATCATTGAGGCCACGCCTTCATCGTGTTACTAGGGTTAGGGGTTCTTTTGTGCTTGGTGACCCTGCTTCCCCTGCATCGGGCACGCGCCCACATGGATTACGGATCCGTGGATCTGGCGTGTGGGCGCCAGATCCACGGATGAGGGAATGGACCCCCCGAAGCATGAGGCCAGCGCCGACCGCTCTGGAAACAGGTCGAGCCGATTCTAGACGAAAGCGGGACGCGTCGCTGAGCCACACGCCTGAATCCCTGTTTGCGCTCCTGCGATTGCAGGCGGGGCCCTCTCTTCTGCCCCCAAGCCCTTGCGCCCTGGAGACGCCACCTCGCCTTCAGGACCCCCCTTCCCTGGAGGGGAAGAAAACGGGGACCATGAACAAGACTGAACGTGGAAACGTCGTGCCGATCTTGGTCACCGTCGAGCTTGGTCAGCGTCATGTCGTAGATCGTCCTCGCAACTCGGCGACGGCCTACATAGACCATGACCGAGATCGTCATCGACAAGATCTCGGGACATCTTTGTCATGTGAACGTTTTCTTTCTCGGCGTTTCGACATTGGGCGGAAGGGGGGGGAGAGGGGGGGTCTGGCTCCAGACCTCTGCTTAGTGCGACTGTTTGCAGCAGTGCGTCCTGTGGGGGGGACTCCACCCGCGCGAAACAGGCGCCAAAAACAGCCAAGACATACTCCACGGGGGGAAGGGGGAGGGGGGGGCGAGGGCCCGCGCCGTTCAGCAAAACAATGAATCAGAGAACGATCACCATGGTCCACGGGCTTCTTCCCTCGGTGCCCCTCCCCGCCCTTGCCCGCAGACCCCCAGACCGTCCGGGATCGTCCTCGCGAGGCGAGCCACGCAGGGGCAGCGCTCGGCTCGCCAGGAGCATACAGTCAAAACGTATATTCAGGACGCGTGGCACGGACGCAAGACCCTTGGAGGCTGAAGTTGGGATTTTTTGGCCGGCGGCGACGAGTGAAAACGGCAAAGGACGGGCGCCACAGAGGCCAGGACGCAAGGGCATCCTAGATGAAGGCGCGCGTCCTTACTACGTAGGCGCGTTGACTGCAGACCGAGCAGAGAGAGGAGGGGGCTCTGCTCTTCCTCGGCCCGCCCCCGCCTCCTCCGCCGCAGCTACCCCCCACAGAGCCCTGACGCCGTGGCTTTGCTCACGGCGCGGACCCCTGGGGGTCTCGCCCGCTTCCCCGGGGCAGGCCTCTCCGCCCGAGCAGCCTCGACGGCCCCGGAGCCCCGCAGGGGCCCCCAGAAGTCGACAAGGGCCGAGAACCTTCCGTCGTGATTTTCTCGCGACTCGAGGGGGTCGGGATCCCGCCTCCTCCCCTCCGCCCCCGCTGGCCCGCGCGCCCTGGATGACACACGCCCCGACCTCGCTCCGAGTTGGCCGGGCGGCTCCTCTTCTTCGTGGTGCGCAGCAGTCTGGTCGCCTCGGTGGCCATGCGCTCGAAGATGTCGTTCATGAAGCTGTTCATGATGTTCATGCCTATGCCAGGCCGACGACGAGTGCGACGGAACGCAGTCATTGAGCCTCCCCACGTGTACCCCGACTTTCACGAACCCTGGAATGACAAGCTCAAGACCATATAAGAGGGCCACATGGAAAAAACACGCGCGGCAATAAGAAGCGCAATGGAGAACCGAAACTGTGTTCCTGGCCGGGTCGCGGTGCTTGGAGCTTTGGGCGCACATCCAAGCGCAAGATATCCAACCAGCTCAACCCTATACCCCAAGGTGTCCTGAACCTCCCCAGGTCTAACTCGAACGCAAAGTATGGAATCCGATGCTCAAGCTAGAACGAGGTGTTGGTTGTCACTGGTGCTTCTGTGTGTTGGGTCCTCGTTTTAAATCAGCAACGCCGCGCGTCTCCTCCTACTCGCCTCTCCTCCGCTCCCTCATCCCTCCTCTCCTCTTCCGACTTTCCTTATCTACATCACTCCTCCATCTGGCTCCTCCTCACCCTCCCCTTCCCTCTTCCGATCACCACCACCATCAGCATCATCATCATCACAATCAGCATCGTCATCATCATCATCATCATCACCACCATCGGCACCATCATGATGTCGGCACAACCCCCATACGGTGAGTGGACCCACAGGGAGCTCCACAGAAGGCACCACCAGTGGTTTCGTTCGCATGATGCTCCACCACATTTCCGGCGCACCCCTCACACCTGTCGTGACCCCAGATATAACTTCAAGGAAGGCATCAGTGGCTGCGTTCGCGTGGTGCCCCGCCCCGTTTCGGCGCCCCCCTCACGCCTGTCGTGACCCCACAGGGAGCTCCTCCGAAGGCACCAATGGCAAGGTTTGCATGCGTCCCCCCGCCCTAATTTGGGCACACCCCTAACACGTTCCGCGGCCCCATAGCGGGTTCCACCGATTGCACCAATGGCTGCGTTTTCATGGTACCCCGCCCCTCTTCGGCACACCTCTCGCACGTTTCGTGACCACAGAAGGAGGTCCACAGAAGGCACCAGTGGCTGCGTTCGCGTGGTGCCCTACCCCATTTCGACGCACCCCTCACACGTGTTGTTGCCCCCAGAGAGAGCTCCACCGAAGGCACCAGTGGTTAAGTTCGCACTGTGCCCCGCCCCATTTCGGCGCACCGTTCACACCTGTCGTGACCCAAGATCGAGCTTCACGGAAGCCAACAGTGGCTGCGTTCGCATGGTGCCCCGCCCCATTTCGGCGCACCCCTCATACGCATCTTGACCCAATGGGGAGCTCCGCCAAAGGCCCCAGTGGAAGGTCCGCGTGGTCACCCGCCCCATCTGGGCACAGCCCTCACACGTTTCGTGGCCCCATCGGGAGCTCCGCCGAAGGCCCAGGTGGCAGGGTCCACATGGTTACCCGCCCCATGCTGGCGCTCCCCTGACACGTTTCGTGGCCCCATGCGGAGCTCCACCGAAGGCCATAGCGGCAGGGTCAGCATGTTACCCGCCCCACTTCGGCGCACCACTCACAAATTTTGTGGCCCCATGGGGAGCTCCATCAAAAGCCCTAGTGGCAGGTTACGCATGGCGCCCCGGGTGATCTTTGGGACCAGAGTCGCCGGAGCGCGTGCCAAGCGTAGTCCGACGTTCTCTGGCGAATGTTTCAGGGCTACTGCAGAGACCCCAAATAGTTCTTGAATCTTGAGCGGTCGTGCTAGGAGTTTCCAAGCGTTTCGATAGGGTTGGGTTGAGTTCTTCGACAGGGAGGTTCTTTGACAAGTGTTAGGTCGGGCGTGTCCTCGCACAGGCGGATTTTGGACGAAAAGGAAAAAAGATAGTCGAAACATTCAAAATAGACAAAAAAAAGCCATACGTTCGTCCCCTGACTATGTTTGACTAGTTTTGAATATTCTCCTGTAGAGGGACAGGCCCGACTTATGACAAGCGTCGTCAGCCAATGGCACGTTGCAGAAGCCATCAGGGCGCCTTGCCGGCGTGCGCCCACGGACAGGAGGTGTCTTACCAGAGTAGGCATGCTCCGTCCGAAGGGGCTGGAACAGTTCAGCGGCAACACACAGGCGCCTCCCGCACCATGTCGTCGGCTCTTCCGCATCGACGCGAATCGACGCTAAGTCGACGCTAGTCGAAGCGAACCGACGCTAAATCGACGTTAATCGATGCTAGATCGGGGCTATCTCAACGATTACCTGACGATACTCGAGGCTAGACAATGCAAAAGACGAAATTGGCCTCCTCCTCCTCCTCCTCCTCCTCCTCCTCCTCCTGCTCGTTCTCCTCGTCCTCCCCACCCCCCTGGCCACGGCTCAAATCGCATTACGCCCGTGACTGGCCCAGCCCCCCCCCTTCCCCCCCCAGGTCAGGTCACGTCACGAATCGCACCAGCGCCGTGTTGGCATGAACCATTGGGCCATTCCTAAACACTTCCCGGCGGCGCCGGCGCGAATCGTGACGTGACCAAACTCCTCAACCCACCCCCGTGGTCACGCCCGATATAGCGAGGGGATGATAGAAAGCTGCCTCCTCCACTCCGGCCCTCCTCCAGGCCTCCTCCTCCTGCTCCACATTCGAGGCTCCCAGTCCTTGGACTTCCCAGCCCCCAGCCCCCGACCAAGGGAGCCATCCGAAGAGGACCGCCGGCCTCTCTTGCTGATGCCGCACTCCGGGTGGATCTGCTTCAGCACCTTGGCAGGAGGGCGCAAAGTTCGGCTACTGAGGGAGGCAATGCCTGGGAGGTCTTCACGAGAAACATTGAAGACTGTCAAGATGGTTCGAGGGGGCATCAAGCCAGATTGAGCCCGATTGAGCCCAGGATTACGCCCGATTCAGCCAGATGGAGCAATAAAAGCGCATGAAAGCGGCTCTCGAAAAAGGATGCAGCAGCGCCGATGCCGAATCTAGCATGGCAGAAAATGCAGCCGAGCAGGTCGGCGTCAAACTTAGGCTTCAGGCCTCCCAGGCTCGCGCGTCGCGCCGCACGGGAGCGGCGAGGCGCCGTTCTCTTCGCGAACGCCTCGCGTCGCCCAAGGAAGAAGGACGGATTGCCAGCTGCGAGAAAACCAGGCTCGACTGCCCAGGCCTCCGCCGGGCTTCCTGATGCGCGACGCGAAGTGAACTCCGCGCCCTCGCTCTGGCCAAGACCGCGACAAGCGCGGTTGTCTTTGCGCACCCGCGGGTGACCGAGATCTCGACTGTCCACCAAAAAGGGAACGATGGGCCGTCTGGGCGGGTGGGCTATCGGGCCCCTTATCGGCGAGCAATGTGCAATCGGGGTTCGATGCATCCCTCCCTGAGCCTGTCTCCCCCTAACGTTGCCCTTGCCTCGGTCTCGACTGACCGAAAACATCGGATGTCGGACTGGTCCTGGCCGTGGGCCATCTCGGGCCCACGATCGGCGGACGCGCCGCTTAGGCCAGGGCCCCGGGGTCGCGCCCGCCAGTCCTGGGGCATGGGACAAGCGCCACGCCGCAACTGAGTGGGAACGACCGGAGGGGACTGGCTCACGGGGTGACAAACCGCCCAGGAATCGGCGATACGTCGCTGGGAAATCGGCGATACGCGCCCCCGACAGCGAAGCCGCACGTTCCTGGCCGGATGGGCGATCGGGCCCGAATCGGCGGTACATGGGCGATTCGGGCCCACCTCTGGCACTGGAGACCCCAGGAATCGAACCGATGAATCGGACCGGCGATGAAAATGATTCGGATCGGCGGAAGTCGGCAGCCGAGCCCTGGAGAGGTCGGACCTGCGGATCTGGGCAGGCCAGGCCTACGCTTCGAAACCGGAACCCATCCGAAGCCGAATCGAATCGGAATCAGCAACCATCGAAGTCTGATCGGATCGACTCGGAGGTATCGAAGTAGATTCGCACGGGAGCGGAGCTCGCGCCCAGGTGCCTTGTAGATGTAGATGGCGTAGGTCTGAATAGCCTTGGGAAGGAGGATCTGCGGCAGCCGTAGACGAAAGGCGAATAAGAAAGAAGAGGAGGAGGAGGAGGAGGAGGGGGAGGACAACGGGAGTGGAAGAGGAGGTAGGTGTGGAGGGGGGGAGGGGGAAAGTGACGGAAGGAGGGACTGGAGAAACGAAAAGGGGAGGGAAGCGCCAGGTGCGCTCGCGCCATATCTGACACCGCACCCCTTCTTTCCATCCCTTCCAGTTCCGCCGACGCGTGTCATAGTCGACCTGCAGCTCCGAAAAGGACACCATCAAATGATGCGCAATTGGCAAATGGGAGCTGCGCTCAGTGGAGGAGGAGGCGGCGGATGAGCAGGAGGATGAGCAGGACGAAAAGTAGGAGGATAACGAGGAAGGAGGAGAAGGAAGAAGAGACGGGCGGAAACAAACAAACAAGAAACACAGACACGCGAAACGCAGAACGCTTCAAAGCAGTGCCATGGCACTGCTTTGAACGCTTCGAATGGCATACAAGCAATGCTCGGGCACTGCTGTGAACGATGTAAACCAATGTCGTGGCACTGCTCGCAGGGGGGGATCGCACCTGCAACCTCGGGGGCAGCAGCAGCAAGACGATGCTGTTCCACCCTGCGCCGCCCGCAACTGCAGATGTCAGCGCCCGGATGCACTTGTCCGCAGACCATCACCGACGTTGGGACTCGAAGCTCCCTGGGGCGCGGCCGGCCGACCGCTCCCAGGAGCCCGCGCCTTGCGTGGAAGACCACCGGCTTCGGTCGCCCCGCCCACGCGCGAGAACACTCAGAATGCGGCGCGATCGGAATGCCACCGCTGCCAAACATCAACACCCAATCCCGTCGAGCGCCAATCCCACTCGGACAAGCCGAGCCATGCCGACGCGGGACCGCACGCCACCCGAGCGCCGCGGCCGCTGGCGCCACAGGACCGAGCCGCCACTGCAGCAGAAGAAACGGTCGCACCGTCACCGTGGGCAGCCCGCGGCGGTCGCGGGTTCCAAGTCCGTTCAGCCTCAGCGTCTCCACCCGCAACGGCAGTTCCCATCTGGGCCTGGGCGTCCTTCGCCGCAACTGCGGCGTTCGTGTCGCCGTCCTTCTTGCCGCCCTTCCTGCCGAACAGCGGGCACCCAGGAGCCTCGCCGCAACTCCGGCCAGCGCGGTTTCGGGCATCAGTTGCCCGAGGAGGTCCAGAGCCGCACGCTGTTGCTGGTCGGCCGCGATGGTCCCCCACGCGTAGCCGTAGCCCTTCGGAGTCCGCGACGACTGACACGTCTTCTTCGCATGCTTCGTACGCTTCCTCATTTTCATCGCGAGATGCTCCCGCACGCACACACTCGCGTGATGGTCGCGACCCAAGCACCCTTGAAGCCCCAAGCAACGCCGAAGCCAACCCCGCATCCCTGCGCCGCGGGGGGGCCGAGGAGCTCCCCGCGCCGCGCTTGCGGGGTCACAGGGTCAGCCGCCGCTATCCAGCCCCTGTCCGCGACTGAGGCCTCGTCCTTGTCGCCGCCCTGAACGTCGGGGACACCGCCGAAGCTGAGATCGCCGATGATCTTGCCAATCGCCGGTCATCAACGTCGATGCACAACGCCCGCCGCTTGAAGCTGGAAGCCCGCGCGCGTCGAACGGCCGCGCCGCCTGGAAACTGCAAGCGGCTCTCGGCGGGCATCTGCACGGAATGCGCAATGGCCATGGTCCTCTCCGCGGCCTCGCCCCTAAGCAGGCCAATCGTCGGCAAGCGCCCCCCCGCCTCCTGCTTCTCGGCGTCAGTCGGGGTCGCGGCCTGCCTCTGCGCGGCGCCCGAAGAACAGGGCAGGACCCCAAAGGGTCATCCGCCTCGACCCCCTCGTCGCCGTCGCTCGCGTCGTCCGCAACTGCGGCGCCGCCCGGCTTCGCGAGCGTTTGCTTCGCGCCCGCCCAGGCCCGGGGCGCCGTCAACGCCCTTGGCGTCCTCTTACCTTTCGCGCGCACCTCGAGCAGCAAAATGCCCCTGCGCGCCCGCGCGCACGAACGCGACCTCCCCGAGAGGCCCGCCCAGAGCACCATGACATTTTTTTTCGGGGACGGGGGTGCGCAGGCCGAACCCCACGGATGCACGCGACCTTCTTCCACGCGCACAAAGCACCATTCGCCCGAGGACGAAGTGCCCGCAAACGCGGATGACCACCGCTACTGCGACTGATCCGGACGGACCGCAGGCAAGCAAGGGCGCGCGGGCAGCGGAGTCGCGCGCGGTGGAAGAGCGAAGCGCTTGCAACCAGACGGCGAGAGGAATGAATCCCTCGGAGAACCTCCCGATCCACCATCGCGCCCCTCACGCGCGCCTGTGCCCCTCGAAAACACCCCCTCGCGAACTGCTTCAAAGCTGCGCCACGGCACTGCTTTGAAGCATTTCGCGAGAGCGGACCTTCGGACGGCCTCGGGTCGAAGGAGCTGCTGAAGAGGTCCCGCGCAGGCGGGGCGGGAATCGGAAACGGGGCAGGAGGACCCCAGGATAGCCCGAGCAGGGCGCGGAGGAGATCTACGGCAGAGGGCAGACAGCGGCGAGGGAGGAAGCGCCTTCGTAAAGCCTCGGTCGAATTTCAAGGCCGCGCTGTGCTGCATATAGTTGCCAGACCAGTCCGCCCTGAAGTGTTCGAGAAGTCCAGCTTGAAAACTGGGGGCGCCAGTGCCCCCACAAATGCAACATATCCTGGCTCTGCGGGGGCAGCATTTCCTTTGGCAGGCACAACTGCGCATGTCCCTTCGCCTCCCCAGGGAGGTGGGGGACGGCCCCAGTTACCCTCCGCTGATGCGGTCGCGGGCTAGGCGGCCAGAGCTCCTTCCCATGCATTCGGGCGGCCGCCTTCCCATGCACTCGAGCGGCCGCCTTGGGAATTCCATCACGCTGCTCGTGTCGGGGGGTGGGGGGCGACCACAGTCTGGGAGAGGCAAGTATGAGAAAGGGAAAGAGCCCGGAGCTCTCGACTTATACCTACGTATAAGAAAAACCTTACATTTCTATAAACATACAAGTGCACATACACATACATTTATACCTGTACGATCGCCCTGCGGGCGGTAAGGAGGTTGGGGGGGATTGAGATCAAATGCCCACCCTGACTGACCTCCAGCCTGCGACCTTGATATCATCTCTCTCTTTCTTTCTGTCTCTCTCTTTAAGATGGATTGGACTGACCCGCCGCAGGCGCAGAAACAAATGAATTGATGGATTGGGTTGGGTGGATAGGATTGGGTGGGACAAGATGAAATGGGACAAGATGGGTTGGATAAGATAAGATGAATTGGATTGAACAAGATGGAGTGGATAAGATACGCTGGATTGGATAAAAATGGACACCGCCCGGCCCAACTGGGACACCTCCCGGCCACCGGCGGACGGGAAAAGGACTTTCGCTCCTACTGACAGCCAGGACACCCGGGACACCGCCTGGCCAACTGGGACACCTCCCAGCCACCCGCGAACGGGAACGGACTTTCGCTCCGACTGCGGCCTGGCTACAGGAAGATCACGCGCAGTTTCGCCTCGCCCGCACGCACGACACGAACACGAAACCGAAACCGATTTCCTGGTGGGGGGTCTCCGTTTTACTGCGATCTCCCCCCCCCACCTCCGATATATCTGTATATATATATATATATATATGTATGTGTATGTGTATGTGTATGTGTATGTGTATATGTATGTGTATATGTATATGTATATGTCTATGTCTATGTCTATGTCTATGTCTATGTCTATGTCTATGTCTATGTCTATGTCTATGTCTATGTCTATGTCTATGTCTATGTATATGTATATGTATATGTATATGTATATGTATATGTATATGTATATGTATATGTATATGTATATGTATATGTATATGTATATGTATAGTCGTGCGAAGAGAAAGTGAATGTATGTGTACACATGCATAATACGATACAACTGTACACATACTCATACGTATGCATCTACATGATATGCACATGCACACATAGACATATACATATGCATGTGCACAAACATATGCATAGACGAAATAGGTAATTCCTACACCTGTATATATATACACATATGTTGTACACGTATGTGAATACATTTACATGTGCATAAGCATGTGCACAGACCCATGTGTATTTTTATATATATATATATGTACACACATACATGCATATATATATATATATATATATATGTACTAACAACACTATATATATACACATATCTATATATATATATTCACCCGTTCACTATACGCACACAGATGCGCATGCGCTAACACGTACACCTTGTTATAAGTATACAGATGCATCAGACATGGACAACCATGTACATATACCTACGATTCAAACACACCGTTCCATCTACAATCGCACATACAAATACATGTACAGATGCATATACACCCACGTGTACGTATGCACACACAAACACATACGAGCACGTGCACATATACATGCAACTGCACACATGAACATACGCATGCACGTATATGTACTCATGCCCATAGAGACATAAACACGTGCACATGCATACACATATGCATTTGTACCTGAACACGCGTGTAGAGATGCATAAATATGCCTATACAGGTTCGTATACTTATACGCTTACACAACCATACACATACACTTACACATATCGATACACATCTACATACAGACATACCATTACAAAAACACCTACCATTACAAACAGGCATGTATACACAAACACCTACCCATACAGATTCATATAACGGCACATCTGCAAAAACATATGCATATACATATAGATATGCCTGGGCAGGCGTACATACACATGCAACCGACTCATACACATATACAAGTACATGCACAATCACGTGCATCGGAATCCATATATGTGCAGATATACATGCACATGTACATATATCGATACAGACAGTTTTAAGAAATTGAACCCGTCGTCGTCGTTGCCGTCGTCGTCGTCGCCGCCATCGTTGTCACCGCCGTCGTCGTCGTCGTCGTCGTCGCATAGACGCGGAAGGGAGGGAAGAGAGGGGGCGCAGGTCAGCAGGAAAGCACGAGGCAAGAGAGGGCACAGGATGGAAAGGATGAGGACGAGAGGGAGGAGAAAGTGGAGAATTCCTGATGGAAGAGAGCGGGATGAGAAGGAAGGCGCGGCTAGGGATGACGTCGAAAGAGCACGCCGAATGCGATCCTGCTGTTGCCTTGTCCCACCATGGCGAGAAACCCGCATCGTTCAAAGCAGTGCACTGGCACAACTTTGAACGACCACAGCAGCGTTCCAGAACTGCTTTGAAGCGTTTCACTTGTTTGGGATTCGGATAAAAGACCAGAGAAGAGGAAGCGAGGCCTGCAAGCATGACACCTCCTCCCGCCTATCCCTTCCCGCTGCGCCCGATGTCCACTATCTTGTCGAGCCCGGCGGGGAACCGATAGGTATCCTCGGATGGCATCTGCGGCTCAAGCGGCCTCAGAACGCATCTCTGGGAAACAAAATGATTACTGATACCGCCACTCTCCAGACCTCTCCTGGGGCGCGTCCTAACCAGAATGTCGAGGCGAAACCTCCTTCTCCTCCCCCTCCTCCTCCTCCTCTTCCTCTTCTTTTTCGTCGTCTTCTTACTCTTATCAGTATTAGTATGACTATTATTATTGTTCGTCCTCCTCCTCCTCCTCCTCTTCCTCCTCCGCCTCCGCATCCGTTTCCGACTCCGCCACCGCCTCCGCCTCTGCCTCCGCCTCCGCCTCCTCCTCCTCCTCCTCCCTGTCCTCCTCCTCCTCCTCCTCCTCCTCCTCCTCCTCCTCCTCCTCCTCCTCCTCCTCATCCTCCTCGTCCTCCGCCTCCTCCACAGGAACCTCCGTTTCTCTCCTCCTCGTCCGGAGACCTTCCTCCTGCTTCTGATCCTCCCCTCCCCTTGACCACGCCCCTCCTGTCTTTCCGCATCCTTCCCAAGTCACACCCCCCACGAGGCCTTCTTCTTGCGCTTGGTCACCGAGCCGTCGCCGGGCATCTTGGGGCGCTTCGGCGCCTTGCCCTTGCCCGCCCGGGGGACCTTTTTGCCCTTGTCCTTCCTCCGGGCCGGCCGGCGAGAGGAGCCGAGGGCGCGGAGAAGTGGGGCCGGCCGGCGCGAGGAGGGACGAGGCGGGTGCGCTGTGCTGGCCAGCGGCCCCGACAGCCCTCAACGATGGGCCGATTACCACCGCCAGAGGGAGGAGGAAAGGGAGGAGGAGGAGGAGGAAGAGAAGGAGGGGGATGAATGAATGAATGAAAAGACCCGCAGGGGAGCGCACCGCACTAAATATTAAGCGAAGCTTAATTAATCAAAACTGAAACTTAAAGCGACTCACGATAGGGAACTAGCTGCCTTAGCCTGTTCCTTTACGCGAATCCTTCCAAGTAGAGCTGACATACGCTGCTCATAAGAGGGGGCCGACAGGGAGCTCGAGTGTGAGGTCCTGACAACAGTTGGAGGCTTGGGATCAGGAGGGGCGGCGGAAAGGCCAAGCCTTGAAAGCGGAACCGCGCGATCGATGGCTGCCCGAACGCGTGGGTTCTGACAGTTTCCCTTCCTGAACTCAGCCAAACTCTCCAACCCTTTACGTGACGGGACCCCACACTGTTGCCCGAGCTTTAAACCACGGCCCTGAACCCAGCCCCCACAGCGTATGCAGAGGATCTGCTCCTTGGACGAGCGCCGACACGACACCGAACCGCCAGCTTTCAGGGGCGGCCCAGCCATGGCGACGAGCCTATGGCCCATGGGATCACGGAGCAGACCTCGGAGGAAAGGCGGCAGCCCTGGGCAACCATCCATCGGGACGGAATCGTGACTGCCTTCAGCTACTCGGAAACACTTACTGCACTGGAGGCCGAGGTCATTCTTTTTCCAATCATGCCACGACACTTGTCGCCGTGATCTCGGGGCGCTGAAGACATGGGGCCTTGCCCATCGCGCCTCGTGCTCGAAAAGAGGGAGCACCTGTGCAGCAAGCATAATAAAGTTCCCAGCTCGCTGACCTGCTAGATTCAAATCACTGCTGAAATCTGGCCGTGGAGCTGGGTGCATATTCAGACCATATTTTGCATAGCGGTCCGCAGCAGCATTCGCAACAGCAAAGATGTTCTCTTCACCCTCAAGGCTCTGGATCGTTTCTTCATCGCGATGAGCCTTGACGTGCCGAATTGTCTGAATCAGATCGGCGCCCTCGAGCTGGCGCGCGAAAGCGCGCACTCCTGCAAACTTATTGGAGAGAGAGAAAGCTGATCCTGCACATTCTTTTGACAGAGCCTGATCGCCGCCTGACAGTCAGCACCTAGCACAGCAGGGCGCGTGGCGATCTGGCCACATATGGCTATGCCGCAGTGCTCAGCCATAGCTGGGGTTTGCGGCAGAACACCTGGAACGATGCCTTTGACAATCGCAACCGGGTCCTCACCCTCATCAGGGCACACAGCGACTGCCCAGGCTGCTCTCTGCAACGGTCGAATCCAAGGCTTCGTGCTCGAACCGTCCGTGGCGAGACGCAAGGGGGCCTGGGAAGTGAGATCCGCAATCGACTCAGGATCCATGTCTAGCGAGTTGCCATTGCCATCATAGAGAAACACCTCACTCGACACAGAAGGGCATGTCAACTCACTATCTTCGTATACGTGCACCCCTCTGGCGAAGATGGGGTTGTCGGGATTATCACGCGCAGCGCGGAGGTATTCCTCAGGGACCTCGGACGCCGCACGTGCATCTACAACTCGCTGGAACTGGCACGTATAAAACCTATGGTGGACTGTGTCTGGTTAACCACACGCACACAACCCGTCACACAGGCACCCCGCTCGCATCGCTCGATCGTTAGTCCACAGTCCGCCACATGCACAGCTCTTAATGAAGTATTTCTGGGAACGGTTAAACTTCCGAGCTTTTGGCCCCACGGCGTCCCGAAGAAGGTCGAGGGTGGCCCTGGTCCCAGGAGCAAAACCGAGCTTTCGGGGAAAAACAACTCTCGCTCTCTTTGCAAGCTGGCCTCCAGCTGGTCTGCTAAGAGGGCTGGAAGAGTGACAGACAGATCTATCTGCAAACCGTTGTGGCCGATCCAGGATAGCGGGCCTTCAGCACGCCACCCCGCACGCCTCAAACTCAAGACAGCCCGAGAGATAGGCCCATGTGACTTGTTCCACGAGGGGCACTCTAAGGGCTTACACAACTCCCAGAGCTTCAAAAGCTCAGCGTGTGAGACCAGAGACTGATCAGGACGCCGCGAAGCGGTCCATATCATCCTACACCATTGGATCGCTGGGGCCAGGGCAAATCGAGCACGGCCGTCCCCCAGCAAAACACCCTTAGCCGTGAGCGAAACGCCTCCATGAGCAGGCCCTTCATGGCGGGCCATCCTTCTCTTCAAGCTCAGCCACTCCGAGGCCGTGAGACCCAAGACTTCAGCCCCGAAACCAGCAGCAGGGGCCACGCCTTGCTTCGAAATCTGCTTAAAGGGGGTCTCCTTGGGTCCCTTAAAACGCCTTCGGATGGCCCGAACTTTACGAATTCGCTTTTTCATCTGCGCGATCCTACCCTTCTGCTTCAGACGAGCTCGCTGTGCACACCGTCGAGCACCCGCTGCCTCATCCACACCAAGGTACGTCACGCTCGGCTTACACACTGACTGGGGCAGAGCGAGAGCAGCACACACATCGCGACCGAGCTCTCGAGATGTGGACAATATGGATAGCTTACCTGGATGCAGTTCAGCATTCGACTTCTTGCTGGCGGCTTGGAACTGATGCATGCCTGAACGGCCACAGACTTGGCGATGACATAGTCACTGGATGAAACATGAAGCCCAGTGTCGTCAATGTAATTCTGGAAGTCCACGAACGGCGCGCGCTCGACGAACGTGTCCAGCGCGTCCACAGCATGGACCTTGATGGATAGGTCACTGCACCCGTCACCTGCAGGCAAGCCGTGCGCGGCAATCAGCGCCGTCCGAGAGTTGTGGCGACCGAGCCTGATGATCCTCGGGCAGGACCACATGTTGACCACGAGCTTAAGCCAACAGGTCGGCGCACCATGCCGCTGGAACTTGACCCTGAGCCCGTGCCGCGGGATGGACTCGTAGTACTTGCTCCAGTCCGCCACTATGAGCACGCCGTACTTGTGCGCAACCTGGTTGCTCTCAGACCGAGCAGCCTGCAACCATGCACAATCCGTGGCTGAACGACCACGACTGGCACCCCAGCACTTGCGGTCGAGGGCCGTGTGCATGTGCGCTACCATCGGCTTGCGTGCTCTCTGCCAAACACGGTACACGCCAACATATAAGATAACAAGACGAGTGCCACCCGTCGGCTTGCCCAACAACGGCATCTGGATCCAGCAGGGCTGCTTGGGCAGCATGCCGACCGATGGCCTCCGACGCCGCGAGCAGCAGCGCCAGCGCGTGGAGGCCGTCGTCGTCCAGCAGCATGAGGTGCCTCGGGTGGAAGTTGCCATAGCTCGTCGCTGCCCCAGCGGGGAAGGACTGCGCTGCACGCCTGAGATCATCAGGCTCAAGCAGTGGGCACATAGAGCGGTCAGGGATCCATGGCGTCGTCGCCTTCTCAGAAGCCTTCCACAATCGACGGTGCATCTCAACCTCCTGAGCGACGATGGTGACGGGGCCGCCAGCCTGGATCCCGATCGCCACAGCCGGCGCGGGGATGGTCTTGACCTTCGTGGTGCGGTGAAGTGGCCGCGCCCCGCCGCTCGACGCCATGCGACACCACTCGGCCCACGCAGCATTGGAGCCCTTCTCCTGCCCCTTGACCGCCAGGGCGACGTCATCTGCAATATCATCGACATAAGATTGTATCTGATCAAGATCCATCGGAATCGTGTTGACCAGCGCTCTGGCCTGGGCAACCGCTGCATCTAGCCTCGCGTTCAGTCCCTGCCCAGGGTATGGTGAGATGGCAAACGTCGTTATCTCTTCAGAGCACTGCATCATGGAATCTGGCTTCGCATACAACATCTGGATCGTGGTAAGAGCATTCTGTAGCCATTGCCAGCCCTGTCCAATACTCTGAACATCGCTGAGATCTTTGGACGGGTAGGTCACGTTGACCCATCGGGGCTCTAGGTTTCCGGCGTATGCTCCTGGCTCACGAAGCTCGACCCCAGTGTTCTGCGCGATGCACTCCGCAAACGACACAGCAAACTCGCCGTAGACGCGCGTCAGCAGAGCCCACACCGTCGCAACATCGCTGCTGGGATCGGCCGCCAGCTCGACGGTGCGCTCCGCAAGCTCGCGGCGCAGCACCCAGTCGATCGGCCTGGACAGCGGCCCAGGCGGCGGCAGAGCAGGCAGCTTGGATGAAACAGAATACACATAGTGTTGAATCTCGACCCCGTTGTCAACCAACTGCAACTGGACTGGCCTATGCGCCTTCTTGTGCCACGACATGACTGAGTGCACACCACGATACCCACGAACTATGGCATCACTCAGGCAGAAAAAGTCTATCGTGCTCGTGCCAGTGCCTCCACGAAACGCGACGTGGCTGGGATAGGCCAAGACCAGGTCAGCTTGTTGAGGAAAGAGAGACTGTTCAAGATCAATGGGTGCCATGTTCCAGTCTCCACCTATCAGCGTTGGCCCCGAACATTGAGCAATCAACCTGCCTGCAGTAGCCAAGATATCAGCATTGATACCGACAGGGCCGATGGAGTCTTGCATGTAAACGTTAAATATCGCTATCGGAGGCCACCCGACTATGTCTATTATGACCTGCTGCAACCTGTGCTCCCAAAGACATTGTCCGTGCTCAGGGTGCCGAAGGCCTAGCGCGTCGCGTACAAACACTGCTGCACCACCAGAGGGAACATAACCAGCAGTGCTCCTCGCAGGGATGGCCGAACATTTCCATTGTCTGTTGTGCGCCCACGTGTGGAGCGCCTCCAGCGTGTCCTCCGTGTAGCCTATCTCCTGACACATGAGGATGAGCGCCTCGGACTTCGTGAGCCTGGTCTTCAGCGTATCGCGACCTCCTGAAGCGTTGAGGGTCTCGATGAAGAAAGTGCCCTGCGCCGCGGGCGCAACGGGCTGGCGCACTGCGCCTCCACGAGGCCGAAGCCCTGAGAGCGGAGGAAGATCATCAAGAACACTTCCGCCTCTTGGCTGCCATTTCGCCGAGGAGTCTCTCGAACTCCGCGGAGCTGGTCTGAGCAGCCTGGAACAACTGCTGCCGCTCGGACTCTTCCAGTTCGTCCAAGGAGCGCTTGCGTTCACCAGGCCCAGCAGCATCGCCATCAGCAGCAGCCTCAGGAGCATCAGCAGGAGGCATGGCCGCGTCCCTCGTGGGCATCTTCCCCGCGAGGTGCTCGCGCAGCTTCGACCAGGCCGAGGAGCCGAGCAGGTTGCGCACCTCCTCATCCTCGATGCCCTCGGGCTTGACGTTGAGCGGGTCGCCGTCCTCGCGATCCTTCTTGGCCGTGGCCAAGCCCAACTGCTGCGCCGCGTTGCTGACCTCGGTCTGGAGCACCGTGACCTCAACCTTCTTGGCTGCCAGCGTGGCGCGCTTCGCGGCGATGGCCTCTTGCAACTCTTCCAGCTGCTTCTGCTTCTCGGTGAGCTCGGCTTCAAGCTTTGTGACCGCAGCAGTGACCTTCTGGAGGTCGGCAGTGGCACGGCGGTGCACCACGGCTGGGGTCCGCAACGCCTTCTGCTGCGCTCGCACATCATCAATCTTGGCCTGGATGGTGGCCCGCAGGCCATCATGGTCCGTACCGTGCGGGACCGCCTTGTAGCTGGCCTCGAAGCGCGCCAGCATGGTGGCGAGCTTGGCCTTCTTGGTCTCGTCGGAGTCCTTCTCCTGGATCTTCGTGTCGTTCTGGGGCTCGACACCAGGCTTCCAGGGAGGCTTGGTGCTGGTCCCCTCCTTGTCCTTGTCCGCGCTCGAAGGAGCCGGATGCCCCCCTCCGCGCAGCAACTTCTCGATCTCGGCAAGGCGTTTGGTGAGGTCGGGCGCCCTACTCGCTGGAGCCGAGCGCTGCAGCCCGTTGCCCTTGCCCTTGCCTCCTCGCCCGCCTGGACCATCAGCGGCGTGTTCCTTCTCCCACTTCCGATGGTTCTCCCAGGGTGCCTTTCGGATGCGCAGAGGGGCCTCCCGCCCGCAAGCGCACCGCACACGGCATGCCCAGTTAGCGGTCGCCATCCCGCACGCGCCGCACGCCCACGTAGGCCCCCTGGGGCCGCGCAGGACATCTGGCAAGTCGGGAGGCGGCGGTACCATCGGCCACCGAGGGCGGTGGCGGCCGATGCAGACAGAGCGATCTTTGTAGCTTGGCCCGCAAGCACGAGCCGCACTGAAGATACGTGCTTGCAAGCACAGGAAACTCGCCTGTGCCAGTACGGCTGGAGGAGGAGGGGGAGGAGGAGGAGGAGGGGGAGGGGAGGAGGAGGAGGAGGAGGAGGAGGAGGAGGAGGAGGAGGAGGAGGAGTAGGAGGACCTCCCCATCCTCCCTTCTCCCCCGTCATACCCATGGCAGTGGTGGTGTACAATTGGCACATCACTCAACCTCTGCGACTAAAGGCAACTGAACCCCTGACTGAAGGCCGCAAATCCACGTCTGACAGGCCAGGAAACAAGGCCCACGGGTCGAGCCGAAATCTAAGAAAAACACTCGGATTGAAACAATCATGTCTTCCGGCCCCGATCGTCGAATCTAGAGGCTTCCTAAGTGGGATCGGAGTAGATTGGGTCGGAGGATCGCGCCACATTGTCGATGCATCGGCGATTTCTCGTCGGTGCATCGTCAACGCTGGAGACGCGTCGGCGACCTCGGGCTTCACATCAAGCCCCATCGTCGATGCATCGGCGACGCGGCGCGATCCTTCGACCCCGTCTAGTCGGAACCCCCATGTAGAAGGCCCATAGAAACTCGAAGCTGCTCGAACCTTTCTATATGATCAGACATGCTCCGCCCTATCAGCGCCTTGCAATGACCGGAAATGTCCCGATTACGCACCATTCACGCCGATTACAGCACATTAGCGTCAGCTAGCGCCTACTGACCTACTGGCGCCTACTATCGACCCCAGAGTGTAAAGTCAACAGTCTGGCGAGACAGCAACTCATGACCAAAATTACGCTCACGCATACTTGGTCGACCCAAAAGGGGGTCCAGCTGAAAGGGGGTTGTGCAATACATATATATATATATATATATAAATGTGTGTATGTATGTATGTATGTATGTATGTCTGTCTGTCTGTCTGTCTGTCTGTCTGTCTGTCTGTCTGTCTGTCTGTCTGTCTGTATGTATGTATGTATGCCTGCCTGCCTGCCTGCCTGCCTGCCTGCCTGCCTGCCTGCCTGCCTGCCTGCCTGCCTGCCTGCCTGCCTGCCTGCATGCATGTATGTATGTATGTATGTATGTGTGTATGTGTGTATATATATATAGATAGTTGGGGCAATTGTACTGCAAATGTACTGCGCCAGAGAATTGCATTGCACTGTACTGCAACCAATTTACTGCACGCGGAAATCCAGCAATACATCTACTTGCTGGACTGTACTGCACGCCCCGAATCTACTGCAATCCCACAGATCGATTGCACCAGAATCTATGGCACCACCCCCTCTTCGCTGGCCCCCCTGTTGGGTCAACCACGAGCACAACAAATCTGATAACCTCCTCGCGATCCTCCCCGAGCCCCGATCCACCTCGCGCCGCGAGGGCGCCTTCTGAATCTACTGTCGCCCACTGTCGACCACGGCGTGAAAAAGTCAACCGCCGGGCGAGACAGCAACTCGTGCCTAAAGTTACTCTGCGCTTACAGCACGGGCCCGACCGCAAGAAGCCCTCCACGAGAGAGACCCAACACCCCGAGACCCCAGGTCGCTCCTCGAGGTTTGGGGTGGGCCCGCCACGCCCTCCACGGCAAATCCATCGAAACCCACGAAACCCGGGGCACCCTGGAGGCGAAGGATTGCAAAAAAACCCGAAGGATTGCAAAAAAACCCAGGATTGCAAAAAAACACCCTTTCGGGGGATTGCAAAAAAACCTTCGAAGGATTGCAAAAAAACCTTCGAAGGATTGCAAAAAAAACCCTTCGGGTGCTCCCTGGCGTGGGTCTCCACTGCACACTCTTAGGAACCTGCTGCATCCTCCCCGAGCCGCCCTCCGCCCTGGCGCCGCGAGGGCGCGGGCCGGCCCCACCCGGGGCCGCCGCCCGGGGCCCGGGCCCGAGGCCCGGCAGGGTCCTCGTCTTCCGGAGGTCGGCCATCACCGCCTTCTTGCCGTCCCCGGCCATGAGCACCTCTCGGGAGGCGAGGGGGGGGGCGAAGGCAGGGGCCGCTGGACACGCAAGCAGACAGGCCCAGCTCCCAGGATTCCCCCACGTGTGCTCGTGCATGCTCTGGATTGCCCGTCCTTCCCCGTATACCACTGCCCATGTTTCCTCATCTCTGCCTGGGCGTCGACGAGTCCCTGTGTCCGTGTGCTTGTCCCTTCCTGCGAGAAGGAATATACCCAGACACGCTCGCGCCGGGAGCGAACAACAACACCACAAAACACGACGGAGGGGGCTGGGAGTCGTTCTCGGCCGCTGGGGGCCCTCGCCGGGCCCCGGGGACCGTCCCGCCAAAGAAGCAAGACGATCGCATGTCTGGGTTGCCTCCTGCTCGAGCAGGACCTCGTCTAGGCAGGCCTGCGATGGATCGACTCGCCAAGTCGGAGTGGACCGGGAACGGGTCGCATCGCCATCGAATCGTCCCGAATCGAATCGAGATCGGATCGCTGCGCCTGGCTCTGGCTGGACCTGGGTCCGTGAATCCAGCCGGATCGAGTCCCAGACATGCGACGTCCTGAGTTGTTCAGTAAGGCGCCCCCAGAAATCCAGACCCTTTCCCCGGGGGAGTCGTCTTTTGACGTTCCCGGGGCCCAGCGAAAGTGCCCAGGGGCCGAAAATAGCGCAAAACCTTCTGCCCTGAGGCGTTTTACGACGCGACCATGTCTAGGATCAAATTCACTCGGAATCGCGGCCCTGGCTGGCGGAGCGAGCCGCGCCGAAGCGGAACGTAGGCGGCTCTGGTGGGTCACTTCGGCACTGCTCGGTAGCCTGGCCTCGCCCGGGTCGCCTACAATTACGGGCTCGGCCGCAATAGATCTTCCCTCGAGAGACCCAACCCTGAGACCCTAGGACGTCCGTTGACGTCTGGCAACAAGAAATGGCGTGCGAACGTCGCGCCTTCCAAAGCAAAACCATCGAAGCCCAAGAAACCCAGGGCACCCTGGAGGCAAGCAGAATTTTGTGTTTCTTGGCACAGACCCCCACTGTTGCGGATGCCATGACAACGTACACCCTACCAATCCTACCATTGTATTAAAAATGTGTTGAACATGCTTGAAACATGCGGTTTACACGTTTAAGAGATGGTTAACACATTGTTTACACATCTGGAGAATATTTGGCAACACGCTTCTTCTGCATCACATCCCCAAGATGTTTCGGGGGGTCCCAGGGACCCCCCTCAGATCTAGCCGCTACCGCCCCCAGGACCCTCCCCTCGGAACCCTCCCCTCGGAACCCTCCCCAGACCCCCCCCCCAAGACCGCTCCAGGCACCCCCCTCAGAGGAGAAGAAAAGGGACCGGAAGAATCGAGGAGGGAGGAGGCCACAGAGCCGCGGAGGTCACCGAATCCGGAGGCGCCCGAATCGGCGGCACTGGCCGGAGGCCATTACAATATTTGGCAACAGGCCTCTCCAGCACCGATCGTCGTCCACCGCCCCCCCGCTGCAGCTCCGCGCCTCGCGCCCTCGCGGGGCGCGGCGCGCGCGGCTCGCTCCGCGCGCGCCTCGCGCCACCCTCGCGCCACCCTCTGGCAGCCGGGCGCCTCGCCAGCCCAGACCGCGAGGTGCCCAGAGCGCGCGAGCTCTTCGAGGCCCCTGGGAGGGCAGGGGGGGCCCGTCCACAAGAGACCTTCCACAAGAGACCTTCCACAAGAGACCCAACGCTGAGACCCCAGGACGTCCATGAATTTTGGTGGGGGCGTCACGCTGTCCATCGCAAGACCATCGAGACCCAAGAAACCCAGGGCACCCTGGAGGCAAGCAGGGTGTTTCTTGGCATGGGGTTTCCACTGTACAGCGGAGGCCCGTCCACAAAAAACCTTCCACGCGAATCCGTGTCGAATCCGCGTCGAATCCAGGCCGAATCCACGTCGAGTCCACGAGGAGCCCGCTTTGGACGCCCGAAATGGGTACGGAAAAAATGGGACAATGCCCAACAACAAATGCTGTCCTAAACCAACAGCGGCCGCTGTTGGGCAGGCGGCCTTCTGCTTCAAATGGGCACAGGCCGCGGCGGCGCGGACCGCGAGTCCTCTCCAACATGTACAGGAACTGCGGTTGGGCATTGTACCCCTTCTTTCCGTACCAATTTCGTTCGTGCGGCCCGCGCCGGGCACGAAACGAGGGTCAGCCGATCGCGTGGTCAGCAGACGCTGGGGAAGGGGAGGAGGAGGAGGAGGAGGAGGAGGAGGGGAGGAGGAGGAGGAGGAGGAGGAGGAGGAGGAGGAGGAGGAGGAGGAGGAGGAGAGGAGGAGAGGAGTGGAGGAGGAGGAGGGGAGGAGGAGGAGGAGAAGGAGGAGGGGGAGGAGGAGGAGGAGGAGGAGGAGGAGGAGGAGGAGGAGGAGGAGGAGGAGGTCCCCCCCGAAGCAGCTGCAGCCCGTAGAGGACCGGGGCCCGGCGGGCGCAGGCCGGCAGAGCCCGCGGGCCGCACCGCCCTCCCTCGAGAGCCGAGACGACAGGCCATCCGCAAGTCGACGGAGCGCAAGGCTGCAGGACGAAGGAACGGCAAAACCGTACACGGGGCGCACAGAGACATACGAGTACGATGTGTCCTCCTTGGAGGCGCGCGTCCGACCCGAACATCTATATATATATATATATATAATACCCATCTTGTAGTCGATCGTCTCCAGAGCGGTGTGGCCAGGAAGCGCCCGCCACGACGCATATACAGAAGATTTCTCGGTGCGCGCGTCGCCCCTGGGGGGGGCGACGCACATATGGTATGAGTGTTGGGGTGACGCCGAATACAGTAGGGGTCCGTCCACAAGAAACCTTCCACAAGAGACCCAACGCTGAGACCCCAGGACGTCTGCTGACTTGTGGTCTGGGAACGCCACGCTGTCTCTATCGCCAAACCATCGAGTCCCAAGAATCACAAGGCACCCTGGAGGCAAGCAGGGTGTTTCTTGGCATGGGTCTCCACTCAGAATCAGAATCAGAAGGCGGGGTAACACCGCAAGCCGCGTGCGCAAAACGCACTAGGCGAAGAGCGGTGCAATGCAGGCGCACTGCCCGCTGCAACGCTGGAACTACTGAAAGACCTCATGCTCATGCGAGGGGGAGGGGGGGAGGTCGCCACTGTGCAGCTTTTGTGCTCGGTCCCGGCGTTCATCCTTCTATCTGACGGGGAAGATGGCGACCACTCCCGGCGTTGTGGGCCGATCGCTGGTCCGCACAACTCGGAGCCAAACTCGGTGACATCATCCCACCCACCCTGTGGGCGTGAGTAGTTCCGCGCGTTGCCACCTTCGTCCCCTTCGGAGAGGGATCTATCACTGCTGCGTATTACTAGACACCCCCTTCCCCACACGACAGACGACAAACCAAGGACCATGACGACACCCCGCAAACCAATCTGCAGAAGTTCAGGAAGAAGAAACGGCACAACCATACAGTAGGGGCCCGACCACAAGAGACCTTCCACAAGAGAACCAACCCTGAGACCCCTGGTGTGGGAACGTCACGCCTTCCATCGCAAAACCATCGAAACCCAAAAACCCAGAGCACCCTGGAGGCAACTAGGGTGTTTCTTGGCAATGATTTATAGGCCGCTGGGGGTCCGCGCGGAGCGCGCCAGGGGCGGCGCCAGAGACGCCACCAGGGGGCCCCAGCGAAGGTTCAAGAGATCCGCGAGGAGCTCCAAAAGTGTCTGGTGATGCAGTTGCTTCTTCTTGGCAGATTGGGGCTCGATCCACCTCCGATGTATCTGAGGTCGCGGTCAAGGCTGGGCGCGAATGAATGGTAGGGCGATGAGTGGGGGAGGGGGGGGAAAGGTGCCCTCTTCGGAATCTAAATGCCCCCTTCTGGACCCTAAAAGGCCCCTCTGGGGGCCCTAAAGAGCTCCTTTTCGGCAACCCTCGCTGGCCCACCATATTTTGAGCAGGGGCCGACCTTTCCTTGCAGCCCTATAGGCTTACCACGACATTGTCTTAGAACCCAAAAATGTTCTAGTAACAAAAACAACGTTCTTAGAGCACAAACCCGATGTGCTCAAACAAGACAGTAAAACATCTCGCGCAGAGCACAAAAGGTTCTTAGAAGGTTCTCTGGTGGGCCTCTAATAAGCGAGCCAGGACGCTTCGCCACTGCTCGAGTATCATCGCCCCCCCGTTCATCGCCGCCCAACATGATGGGCCTGTTTTCCACCACCACCACCACCACCACCACCACCACCACCACCACCACCATAAATTGAATGGGGGAGGGGGTCCTCCTCCTTGTCCTCCTCTTTGCCGTCCTCCTCCTCCTCCTGCTCCGTCCCCTCCTCCTCCTCCCCTCCTCCTCCTCCTCCTCCTCCTCCCTGGGGCCGCGCCCTCTCCCCCTCCCCCCGGCGCCGGACCCCTCCGAGCCGCTCCCCCCCTCCCCCCCTCTCCTCCTCCCCTCCTCCTATCCTCCTCCTCCTCCTCCCGGAGGGTCTCTCGCCTCGCTACCGCCTCCGGATAGCTCCGGGGGGCCTGCCTCCTCCTCCTCCTCCGCCTCCTCCCTCCGCCTCCGCCTCCCCTCCGCGCCTCCTCCTCGCCTCCTCCTCCCCTCCCTCTCCTCCTCTCCGCCTCCTCTCCGCCTCCGCCTCCGCTCCTCCCTCACAACTCCGCCTCCCTCCTCCCTCCCATCCCTCACCTATCCTCCTCTCCCCTCTCCTCCTCCTCTCCTCCTCTCACCCTCCTCCTCCTGCCCGCCTCCTCCCCCCCTCGCTCCCCCTCCTCCTCCTCCTCACTCCTCCTACCACCTCCTCCTCCTCCTCCTCCCTCCGCCTCCTCCTCCGCCTCCGCTCCGCCTCCGCCCCTCGAGGCTCCTCACCTCTCCTCCTCCTCCTCCTCCTGGGTGAGGCAGGAGGAGGCAGATCAGGTGGAGGTGAGCTGGTCCAACGTGGAGGCGAGCTGGGTCATCGTGCAGGTGAGCGAGGTCATCACGCAGGTGAGCAGGATCCTCGTGGAGGTGAACTGGTCCAACGTGGAGGCGTGCTGGG